GATACAAGTACAATCTATGTATACTTGTCTCATACGTAGCACCTTTTACAAGTTTTTATAAGTAAAAAGTGTTGAAAAAGCTTTTCCTATGTACAGCAAAAGACTTGATAAGACGCCGATGCATGGATTCTAGTCAACAGCCAACTCGGCATTCACTGAGTAGATAGCATCAGTTGTAAGACTGGCAAGGTAAAGAAGACTAGTTACGTTTCATTTTTGTCAATTCTATGCAGAGAAAATGAAAATGGAGCGGTGAGTTTTGCGTGTTTTCCACAAATGAACTTAAAATGTGTTCGTCGGCCGGGAGGAGTGGGGGACGGGAAGATGAGAGTGAGTGGATATAGAAGATACAACAGCAAGTGCTAAGAATGCGGCGTAGTTTTAGAGTTTTTGGTCTAGGTACATGCTTTATTAGTAAAATTATGTATTCGTTTGTCGGATACGCCCCAGTATTGGTTATGAGGGCAATGAATTTTTCGTTTCATAATCATAAACATAGACAACCGAATTACTAGAAAACACAGCAGAGAGGATGAAAAATGAGCTGCATAACTAATACTAGGCCACACTAAAGAATTTTACTAACAAAAAATTCTTTCTCAGCCCAGCTAACGAAGCCCTTGAGCAAGGCAGAAACGCGTACGGACACTCACTAACACTCATTTGAACTCGTAACAACCTTTTAAACTCGTAGGAGTTCAAAACAGCCTGTCCCATGCTACAGTAGACGTCATAAGTCTCGCGTCACTTTTTTATTTTGACTCGTGTATTAAAACTACACAACATTAATTTAATTTGATTATATCTCTGTATAGTAGAGGTCGAGTACTATATAGATACACCTGTTTAATACGAAAAACTCTTGACTATAAAATACAATAAAAAAAACAAAGTTCAGTCCTGAGAAAAAATGACATAAAAAAAGACAAAATGATAATAAAAATGTTTGGAAGACTTTTTTGTTTTACAATAGGAATTGTTTATACAGATTTTATAGAGCTTTCGACGCCGCATCTTTTGAAAAAAAATCAAGGTGAACCAGACAATGGTAGCACCGTATGTTAAATACGGTGGGAAGTAGCACTATCATGTATTATTTTTTCATTTCGAGTATGGAAGAACCATGCGAACAAGTCAATAAGGGTTTGTTCTTACAGTTTTGTAGAACTTTTCACGACGCATCTTTTGAAAAAAAATCAAGATTTTGTCATTTACCTGTGCAAAGATATTCACAAAACAAACTATGGTGCAAATATTTTGGGACATCCGGTATTTCAGTATCTAATATTTTGACTAAACACCGTCATTTCTCAATGAAATCCAAAATGTTTTTTAACCAAAATGATCAGCTCTACAAGCTCTACAAAGTCTGATAAAGTGCGAAGTTTTCTGAATACTTTGTGTTTGACTCTCCATGCATGGACAGTCAACCACTTATACTTTCATGGCCATGAAAGTTTCCTATAACAACAATCTCATTTCGCCTTTTATATGTCATTTTTTTCTTAGGACTGAACTTTGTCTCTTTTTACTGCATTCTATATTCAAGGATTTTTCATATTAACAGGTGTATATATATAGTACTCGACCTCTACTATATAGACATATAATCAAATTATATTAATGTTGTGTAGTTTTAATACACGAGTCAATATAAAAAAAGTGGAGCGAGACTTATGACGTCTACTGTATTACTAGAACATAACACAGTTTTGAACCCGTAATATATTCTTCGACTCGTGACATGTTTTTAAACTCGTACAAGTTCAAAACAGCCAGTCCAGCCTCCCCTATACTACATTACAACATAACACAGTTTTCAACTAGTAATATGATTTTAAACTTGTACGAGTTCAAACAGCCAATACTAGTAGATGCACTTAAGCGTTTTTTCATCTCGTTACGAGTACGAATTTAACATGAAGTCGATTTGATAGTAAATAACATCTTTTTCAAAATAGTACATCCAATTACGTAGACGGTGTTAAAATTATTCGTCATATGGGGCCGATGTGCTGCACAGGGATGGGATAGTTCCAGTTTCCAAACTTTGTGAGAACTGGTGAGAAGAACTGGTCATCGGTTCAGTTCATCTTGAATGGGAACTGCCCCCAGTTCTTTTCAAGAATTCAAAACGAACTGAAACCGACAAAACTAGTTACATCAGAGATACAATCGGTATCGGTATGAATTATAACAGCCGGCTTGTATAAACTTCTTAATTTAAAAAATTGAATTAGGTTATTGTTTTCGTAAAAAAAAACCATGTGAAAAATCAGCTATACATAATGCATACTCAAAATGGAAAGATTATTTCTTTGATAAAATAAGTAATTTAATCAAAAGAAGTGTAATCGTTTTCTTTTCGGTGAATGTTAACAGACTTCATCGCTTCTATGTAACATTATCATAACTTCATTTAAAAAGAAAATGGACACTGATAAGTTCTCATCTACCGATAAATATTCAAGCAAAACTAAAATCGCCAGAATTTGTATTGTTCATGTTCGAACTTCGTTCGCCATTCTTGTACGTTACATCATACCTGTTACCATTCGCGTATGCGAAAACCCCTCGACCGTGCATTTTGCCATCTTGCCATTCGCCGTCATACCTGTCCCCATCCGCGTACGTGTAAACCCCTCGACCGTGCATTTTGCCATCTTGCCATTCGCCGTCATACCTGTCCCCATTCGCGTATGTGTAAACTCCTCGACCGCGCTTTTTGCCATCTTGCCATTCCCCAGTATAATGCGTACCGCTCGTCCATACACATACACCTCTGCCGTTTGGCACATCCGTGATAGTATCACCGTCGTAGCTACCACTATCAGCTAAGATCACTTTCTTCTTCACTACTATCGATGATAAACCGGAACTGGTTGTCTCATTTAACGTGAGCGACGATATTGAGCCACGCATTGATTCGTCATCATCATCAACTTCGCGCAGATGCACGATGTGTAAGCCACCAGAGTGATCAAGGGCATTACTTACGACCTCAAGTCCCGTGCCGGGCATCAGAACAAATTCGTTCTCGTTTGCATAGCAAGTGTAAGATGAAATGCTCTTTGCTCTCACTGCTTCGATCATAAACAATGTAGTATTAGTGCCTAGAAAGTCCTTGATGATATTGATCGACGAAGAACAGGAACTGACTGACCACCATGTCAATAGTTGTCCTTGTTGAAAGTTTCGACTCATGTCACCATCGACACCACGCCACAAAGATAGCTTCTTAGATGGGAGTTTGTTAAGAGCAGTGTCAAGCAGTGTCAAGCAGCTTCAAGTATGGAAACCATGGTTTTAATGCTGGACGATTTTCATCTCGTAGTGCTTTGTTCAATACGCGATAAAAGCCTCGATCACCCCACTCCATCGTGTATAAATACAAGGCAGCTGATTCCTCTTTTGTTAGATGGTCGGACGAATGACAGTGTTGTTTAGCGATTTTAACATAGCGTTGAAGATTATCGATGAGTGGTATTATTTTCTCGAGTGAGACTTCCAGTGACATCAGTGGTGAACTGAGATAACCATATACGGGTGGCAGTTTCTTGTAGTTTGGATCGATGTCACAATATCGAACACTCATATCTCGACTAAAAGGAGACTGAAGACCAGTACTACATGAAGTGGAAGGAGAAGAGTTTGTGTCAACTAGGAAGATTTGTGAGATTATCTTCTATTGTTCATATGGATGTGATTTCTGATGGAAAACAAAGCAATAACAAGCGACATGTGAGACATCAGTGATTATCAGAGGAAGCAACTGAAAAGGAAACTGAAAGACTGTTCCCATTCGCAGATGAGCAAACTCTTCGAGCGTGATGTTCTGTATCCTGCTATCAGCTTTATCATAATCCTTTGCTAATGGTACTGATGACGTCGATGTTCTAGTTTCAAATACGCAGCCTTTTAAAACATTCTTCCACATTTCCAAGCACTACAATCTGTAAGTAAACGATTTCTTCTATGCCAATACCCAAATATTTTCAAGATGGACGGAACAAAGAAAGGCATCTCACTGATAAAAAAGCAAACGTTTATGTACAAATACATACACAGCCTTTTTAAAGCATTCGAAGCTTCGTTACTAGGTTGGTTGATAACGTTTATGACATTCAAAATCATGACACGTTTCATTTCGTTCTGTTACATAAAACTTCTATTTTCAGGTAGTGAAGTGATAAGGATATGAAATACTTTCTTTTCTGTCTCCCTCTCTGGTTAAAACACAAAATCGTTGACTCTGATAATCACTGATGTCTCACATGTCGCTTGTTATTGCTTTGTTTTCCATCAGAAATCACATCCATATGAACAATAGAAGATAATCTCA